AAAATATCAGTAACAGCTTTTTTAATAGACTGGAGAGGAAGGAAGCTGAGCTTTTGAAAAGGGAGTTGTCCTTTGCTCCAATGCTCTATGGTCAATAAACATCACAAATAAATATTAATTTTTCCAGGATCAGTTTAAGCTGTAATTGGTGTCTTCTTCCTCTCAACGTTTACAATGGTCTTTTCCTCATCAATATATCCAGTATCTTAAGCTTCAGTGAATGTCCTACTTCTTTAGAGCCTATACCTTTTCCCTCCTGGCCGTGTGACATGCCCTCAGGTTTTTTTCCTTATCTGTCATCACTGACATCATCATTTGTCTCAAGTGTGACTCTCATCCTTCACTTGATGATATTTATTTATTATAAGAACTTAAACTTTTTTGTATGCGCCTGCTCTCGCCCAACATCCACCGTGCTGCTTTGGGATAATGCAAATGCTAAATCCACACTGCTGCTTTCACTAGTGTGCTTGGACTGTGGATTATTGTATCAGCCGTTCACAGCTGGAGCCCTGGATTCAAATGGAATTATAATCATGAGTCAAAAATAGATATGTCTATCCAAAATACTCCTGTCTCAACATTATTCAGCACAAAACTGAAATCTCAGGTCTGTCGTTAAAGGTCAGATTTTAAAGACAGTGACAAAATAGATACAGCCTTCCTGTACTACACCTATAAGTAACTAGTCATTATGCTCCTTAACCATCGGTCTAACTAAATAGATTTAAAAAAAAAAACAACCCCCAAAGAAATTTGTCTATCTTAAAAAAAAAAAAATTCAGAGCTGATGAAAGGATTTCAGAATACAAGTATCACAGTTAACATTTACAAATGTAACTAACCTAGCTGTGATAACATCCATATATAATATTGTATACTGATTTTAAATGACATCAGCAAAGAAAATTATCCTTTCAGAACTTTAAAATGGGGAAGGATTCAGCAGAATTTGTTCATGTTCAAGAAAGTCTTTGGAATTTCTACCCATGTTATAGTTTAGTTCAAGGGACCAGATCCTTAGACATGGGTAGACATTTTATGCCATACTACAACTGATGATTTCTTTAGCTGATCAAATGGTTACTCCAAGGAAGGAATAATTTAGTAACACAGAATCAATGCCTGCTGCTGGCATAATGGACACAGGTAGGAAAAGATGGCAGTTTTTTTTAGGTAACATTAAGTCTCTTCCAAATTCAGCTAGAAACAGCTTTTTCTTCTGTTTTAGAGATAGATGCACTACTGGCATCTTTACCATAGATTTAATTTTATATCAGGAGTAATTGGGAGTGCTTAACTAACTTTAAGGTTAGTTAACATAATGAGTTCTAGACATACCTACAATGCAAAGGTTGCTTTGAAAAAAACCCATAATTTTCATTCATGCCATATAAGAATTTAAAAATACACTGTTAAAGCCTTTCTTCATAGTTTACTAAAGAACTTGCATAAGACGCAAGTCCTTCATAGAGCAAAAGGCACTACAACTCTCCATAGCATATTATTTTGTGATGGAGTCAAATACTAGAAATAACTCCTGAAGAATTTGCTAATTAATTAGGTTGGGATAGAATCAAAAGCAAGTAACATGCATATAAACTTGGTAAAGGTTGTTAATCCTCTTCCAATCAAAGTTTAGAACAAATCTTTCAGGGGACATTGTGACTAGCTAAACATCTACAAGATACAAGTGACAAATGGTGATAAGTAACAAAGAGGTGTTCATTACTTGATACCTTGTTGCATAGTAATTTTGGGCAGCTCTTGGAGCTCTTAACCCTCCCAGACTGTCTGCACATTAACATTTTGAAGTGGTTTTAAGCACTTATTATGCAGCTCAAAATTACGCTACTCCAGGGCAGGATTCTCTCTGCTTCACACAACTCAGCTCCTGTTCCATTAAGGTGTGGCCAGTCCCAACAGATGTGCTGCCCAAGTTGCAGTCCTTCAGCAAGGATGGAAGTGTTCCTGGCTCACCACCCCTCTAGTAGCTACAGCTCCTAGTCCTGCACCTGCTCACCAGGCCTCCTAGTGGCAAGTCACAGCTGTGCAGGTGGGGCACAGTCAGAGAAGATTTCATGACTGCGTGTGACAGCTCTAAATTCCAAGCTAGCACTAACACCAATCAATGTTTGTGCAACTCAGTACAAGGCGTAACATGGCAGTTTCACACATGAGAAGTCACAAGTCTTTCAGCATGTACATGGAAAGCAACATACAAATCCATAATCAAAACAAACCCTCAGCTGGACAATTGCTTGTTGCATCTCCCCTAGATATGGCAATGCAGTTGCAATGTGAATCTGTCCTTTCAAAGTGTTGCAGAAGCTTCTGTTATATGAAGCTGATTCTCCCAGCAAAAGTATGCTTAACTGGTACACCACTTTTATTCAGGTTCTGATACCAAAGATCCCATCTCCAAACCCCAGATTTTTGGTGACTTACAGACCATACCTTTAGGTTTTAGTTTGCCAATACTAGTATTATTCAGTTCTTCAGTACTGTCCATACAGTTGCATAGGAGTATTTAGTACAGATAATTCAATCCAATAGACTGATGCCCTACTGAAATGAAGTACGAGTACACTGCAGAATGGTTTAGGATAGGAATCATTTTTTTTTTTTTAATTCTCACAGGATACACCAGTGTTTAGCACTTCAGAGGAATCTGTACTTCAACAACAGAAATATAATCTCTGTAGACAGATGCCCAGTAAAAGGGCTGGGGGCTACAGTAAATTTCACTTGAAAAGCTTGATGGGGATGCAGGGTTACAAGAAAGAGTTTATAACTTTTTGCTTTTAAATAGTCTTGTAGCTGGAAGGACTCATTTACTGTCACCAGCACTATTACAGGGCAAGTTTCAAGAGTGTGATCAGTACGTGATATCCAGCAGTCCCCACACCCACTCAAATGTACCTCTGAAAACTAAATTTGAACATACCTGATCAATTTCATATTTACTCTACAAATTAAAGACTGATCATGCCTTTAAAAGCATGATGAAGACTACTCAATACAAATAGCACTTCTTAGAAAAGGGGCTACCACCAAGTCATCAGGAACAGAGTTTTCAGACATAAACAGAATCAATAATGTTACAGCAATTTAGCTGTCTGCCTCTAAATCAAAGCTACTGCTTTTCAAGTAATTCAGTCGATTTCAATTGTACAAAGTCCATCCAGGATAGATATTTTTTAAAGATACTCTGAAAGCCTTCCAAAGAGAAATGCTTAAAGGGATTCTATTTCAGCTTGTTAGCTTTCTTTTAGATTTCAAGATACAGTAAAACCTTTGGACATCAACATTTAAGCCATGAGACCAAATTTTAAAAGAGTCACTACTATTGCAGTGCTGGTATCTAGGTGCAAAATTTATTCGGCCGAACTCACCTTCACTCAAACAGCATAAGGCACTGAAACAAGCATTTGTTATGGAGTTAAGTTTTTGCACAGTTAGCTTTAATTGTCTGTATTAGAAAAATAAGCACTGAAATATATAAATACGGTTACATTAAAGTAGTATTGTAGTCTAACAAACTAGAAACTGAGGCCCAGTCATACTTCTAATAATACAGAGTAGCAAGATTTGGGTTTTAGGAAGTCTTCAGAAAGAATTTGATCAGGAGAGGCAATATCATTAAGAAGACCACGGTAAAGACAAAACAAATTTGCACATTGCAATAAAAACTAAGTAGATCAATTTATTATGTATACTATACAACGTGTATGTTTGTAAGGAGCAATCAACATTTCATTCCCTTAACATCTTGACTGGGTGTAAGGAATATGTCCAACAAAACAGTACTCCTGGGGCCTTTGCACAGACACTGTCCTACTACATCATGAACAATGAGAAGGAAGCCTTCGGTCTACAGGTTTGGGGGACATATCTCTGAAGCTGCAATTAATCCACTTGTGACTATTTCAAAATGTTGGTGCTACTTGCTATTAAAAGCCAATGTTAGTACTACTCTAGCTATTAATTACCATCTACCCTTAAAGGCAAGATATGAAAGGGACTGCCAGACTACAGTGCAGATAGGTCTTCTCTGAAAAAGGTCATTTATCAAATGATAAAACTCATATTATACATTATGTACACAAGTTTGGATAGCTTAGTTATTCTGCAGGAGTAAGCTGAAAGTAGATGTAGATTCACAGTCAAGTTTGATTTGCTGTAAAATCATTACTGGGCTTAATCATTTAATGTCTTAAACAGCATATATAATCAAACTAACTGTGCTTGCTGCTGAGGTTTTCAATACAAAGGCTCAAAATCAGTAACTGACCTGGTCATAGTAATACAGTACACTTCAAATATACATTTCTCATGGATCACCTATTTATACTGGAATTTGTAACAAACTTAAAACCCTGCAAGCCACTGAATGGACATCAGAAGGATTTGTTGTCTAATCAGCGTATTAAACTAGCTGTAGCTGAGTGAATGGAATGTTTAAATGGAATTTTTACCTTCCTAAATGTCAAGAGAACTCAAACCTACTGTGAATGTTAGTGTAGTGATACCAGACATTACACACACACACACACACACACACACATTAAAATGTAAGAAACTTGTTTCAGACCAAATCCTACCAATAAGTCTTGCTTTTCATTTACACATACAAAAATAAAGAGGGATTTTCACATTAGGATAAACATCTATAAAAACCAATTGAATTCAATATATCCATTTTCCTTGCTATTTTGGTATACATTTCTTTTGATAAGATTTTTCTCTTTTCCCAGCTTAGCTTTTTACAGACACAGGGTATCCATGCTCTTCAGTCTGTTCTTATGAAGATATTCACAAGTTCAATAGAAAGCTAATAAAAGATAAAGGAAAGCCTGGACTATAGCAAGCACATTCCTAATGAACTACTTGGAAAGGACTATAAAAGATACACAAAGTATGAGCTAATTAGATTTTGCAATTTGGAAGTTCTCTGCTTCAAGTTCTCTTTTGATTGAGGGGGGGGGGGGGGGGATTATGCAAGTTAAGCCTGCACCACTGCCTTTGTCTATAGCATATTTAAAATTTAGAACATGCATATCTAACATCTCTACTGCTACATCTTGTTATGACAAGAAGCTAGAATTTTCCAGAGGGGGTTAAATAGTCACTGCAAGTGCTCAGTGCTCCCAAGAGACAGAATAAGCTCATCTGGCTATTATGCATAATTCAAAGTAGAGCTGAATTAAAGTTAAACTAAATTTTGAATGATTATTGTCTGATCCTCAGGTCTGTCTTTGGGAGGGGCTCTGCAGAGACCAGAGACCAATCTATTTTTCTTAGCCACTTGGATAACAGCTGTTTTGGCAGATGCCAATACAAAAGAAGGATTTAAAAATGTATGTTTAGAGTATTTTCTCTTATAATGATTTTTCTGGGGATGGAATTTTTTTTACAGAAGTTGTATTAGACCTTTTCTTTAAGAAAACTGAATGAATGATAACAGCAAGCTATGCAAGACTCTAGTATTCTAAGAGAGGTAATAAATTCATACTGTGATCCCAAAGACTAAATCACAGCCTTCATATTAATAGTTTTATAGGTACTAACAGCAAAAGCTCCACTTTTATCTAATATACCTGATTCAGCTAAAAAGACAAATTCTGATTTTCTCCTTCCTGAAGTTCCATCTAATATCACCGTACATGTATATTACCTGTTGTAATCAGTAGTTAGGTCCCTTTATAACCTTCACCATCTACACAAGATGCCACGCTTATCCTCATTTGCTGGAATGAGAAACTACCACATTTATCAATAGATAGCACATATAATACAAGTTCAGTTCTTGGTATTGCTCAAAGCTGGTTAGGGGTTGCTGTGCAACACAAAGAACTAAGGTTGCCAAAACAAGGAGTTGGCATATCACCACTTCATGATTTCACGAAATATGATATCATACCCTTCTCAATTCTATAACACTAAAAATATTCCAAATACAATTGCATCTAATCCCTTAATCCCTAACAGGTTTGGAGTCTGTCATAATAACCCTAAAGAACTGTAAGTATCTCTGTAATCCACAGAATCCCAGAGTATTTCAACTTTAAAAAGATATAGATTTAAAAGTTGCTGAACAGAAAGGGTGCCTGCCTTTTGAATGCCTACAGGAACATATTTCAGATTGCTATACATGAACATTGGACGTCACTGCTACACAAAATATACAACCGCAAAAAGCATAAGTAAGGTTGACTCAGTCAGGTATCAATATTAAGTGTTTCACAAATCTTGGGTTTACAAGTTTTATCAGTAGCAAGATTCTGAGCACAAAGTTTCAGGCCAAAACTTTCAGTTACAGAGTTACTTGTGCTTCTGATTGGCACATTATCTGCTTTTTAAAATGTAAAATTAATAGACATTTGCAAAAGGTTGTGCAAAACTATTGTATTTACAAAAATGGCACAAGAGTGAATTCAACAGTCTATGCACATGCACACTTCATTCACATCTTAAATAAAAGTGTGTTCTACGCTACAGAACTGAAAAGAATACCAGCTTCAACAGGCAGTTGTCAATAAGCACTAGGTTCACAAGAGTTACACCAGAATGGGCAAATATTGCCCAAGTAAAAATCTATTGTTAAAGCTGAAACAGGTTTAAGGCCATTCAAGTTCAAGAGCAGATACACAAATTCATTCAGAGCCCTGTCTGTGTTGATACATGCTTTACCTTCTAGTAACTTGTGGTCTAAACCTCTGTTTTAGACAAAACCAAACACAGGAGAAAAAGCAACACAACAGGAGGTTATATTAAATACAAACATACTATGCTGTAATTAAGGTGAAATAACAAAAGCAGAAACATTAAAAGTTGTAAAACTTGCTATGTCACTTGCTGGAACCATTTCTACACTAGGAAATAGGCAATATGTACATTTTCAAGTAGATTACACTGCTCTAACCAAACTTGTCCTTTTTATCAGTGCATTGTTCTTACTAGTCCAAGTACTACACATTTACTCTTAACAGTACTCCCTTACAATAGCAGCATTCACTACCGCTACCTGCAAAAAGCTGTCAGTCTCAACAACTTAGTGTAAAAAAAAAAAAAAAAAAAAAAAAAGTAAGTGAGAAATAACTATTAAGGAGAAATAAAGGGAATGAGAAGATTCATGCAGTTCAGCTGTTTTAGTCAGCCAGCCAGCTTGCTAGCAACAAGAGATGGTTTCCGCTGCGGAAGATCTTGTGGAGTGGGAATGTGGTCACCAGTGACTTCCGTCTTGTCAGGAGCTGCAGTAGGCAACTGCTTGTTCTTCATCTTTGCTTTTGCCATGTTGTAGTCACCAGAATCAAAGTATTTTTGCTAGAAGACAAAAATATTTTTGTTGGATTGAAAAATGTATTCAATGCATACATAAAATTACATTGGTTTAATAAGTGAAAACCACATAAAACATTAAATTGATAACCAAGTGGTAAACTTAAAGCTCTGTTGTTGGAAAGCGGTGGATATTAAGGGAGTTTAGAAATTAATTTTTTACCTCATTTAATGCATACAAATTGTATTAGTATGGACGTAAAAGGAGTCCAGAGGTGTGGAGTTGGGGAACAAGCTAAAAGTTAAACACTGAATTAAGGAAGTGCTAAAAGTTAATGTCCAACCTCAGGTCTGTTTCACTGCATGTAAGCATTACTATACTGCCAAATTTGTCAAGAGACCAAAACTTCACCTCTCAAGAACTTCACATCTGACAGCAGAGTGTAGTGCAGCTAATGAACTCCAGAACTGTATAACTAAAACAACCTTGAACATTAACATCTAAAGGATAGAGTGCCTGCTCTAGTGTATCATGTGAAATGAATTTGCTCATAGCCCAGATCTGCAAATGGTTAAAGATGTGGTGCTCAACCTTTTTCCCCCAGGGGGCCAGATGCAAAGTGCCAAGTCTGTCAATGGGCTGAATATGAATGGTGGTACTGACACAGCACCAAGGGTGGGTGCAGTGGGTACCAGCTAGCTGTGCAGAGTGGGATGAGGGCCAGCCTGCAGGGGAAGGGAGCATGGCTTGGCCTGGTAGGGGAGAGGGGTGGGGAGAACAATCAAAGAGACTCAGAAGCAAGATAGCAACCAAGTACTTGTAAAGAACTGGTGCAGAAACATTGAATCCAGCCTGCATTGCTGTTAGTCTGATGCAATACACTGTTACAAGTTACTTAGCAGTTGTACTGAAATTTTTAGAAGCCTACTGAAACTTTTAGAAGGCTAGTTAAAAACAAAGCTTTAGGCCTAGAATGAATATAGCATATTAAACCACAAATAAACCCATTTTGGATTGATACAACTTAGCTGAAACATAACACAGGTCACTGCACCACATGCCAGTTCTATTCATGTAACAGCTCAATGCACAAGGGCATGTTTCATCTTTTGAAACAGCTGTTGAAAGCACATGCACACTCCCCAAAATCTGATTACGAAAACCAATACCCGTTTTGTTTCCATAAACATGTCCTGCTTCCCAGATCATGTTAGAATCAAAGCTGTTTTACTAAGCAGATATTAGATACCTGCTTATTCAGACAAGTTATCACTTCTACCAATTCCTGCCATCTTTACTAGCATTACCCCTTATTGCCATCTGCCTTGTTTGTTATCAAATAGCCTCAAAGCATTAAATTATTCATAGATATGAAGGCCAGAAAGGGCCATTATAATCATCTGTATTATGTAGGAGATTAGACTAGACTATGAAATTTCATCTGCTAATTCCTACATCTAAACTGCAATATCTGACTAAACTGACCATCTCCAAACAGATCTCTCAGATCATATTCAGGGTAAACATTAGATCAAAATATAGCTGCTAAGTGTTGGGTCCTGAATCTTAGAAACATCTACCATAAAATGTACTACTAGATGGGCACTGTCAACCTGACATCTTGTCCATTATTAACAACTGACAAAGACAGAAATCAAATTTAAGTTGACATTGCTCCCTTCTAAAAGCAGACTTGAAGGAGATTTAGTAACAATAAAAATTAGACAACTAAAGACTAATATTAAACTAGGTATATTAGAAGGAAGGTTTATTGTTTAGTTAAAACAAGACAAAGGTACAGGCAAAGATTCTTCTCTTAATCTTAACTATAAACCTCATCACAAATGAGTCAAATTTTGATGTCTCTACAAAAACTGCTACAGATTTACACTTTATTTTAAGGATCAAAAGTAGCTCTCTAGTCACCACCTGTAATTCTACTAAGTTCCAGCCAACCCAAGTTTCACTGCTATGTACTGTCTCAGGCAATTTTTCATCTTTCCTTCACTATATTTTTGTTGCTCCATATTTCACAACCTAAGCAAACACCTTTATTTTCTGGAGTCCATTCAAGAACCCTTGTCATGTGGAAAGACAGACAACAAACATGGCACGTTAAGCATTTCATGCAAACATCCTCACATTAACCCAGGGATGCACAACCTCCAACCCATGGACCAAATGTAGCCCATGTAGGCATGTTATCTGGCCCATGAGGCTCCCCTCAGGTTGGGAAATCTGACAGCAGGGGAGCAGTGGCAATTAATATGGCCACCTTTCCCCACCACCATATTCCCAAATCCCAAGCTCCATGTGGCCGGCTGGGGTCAGGCTACCACCCCTCCTCTCCCGCCAACCTTGCACAGTCAGATGATGTCCTGCCATGACCACCCTGGGTCCCAAATCCAGCTTGCAGATGGACCAGGCACTGCCCATTCAGCCTACCAGACAAAAGGTTGAGCATCACTACATTAACCCAAATTGTGTTCTAGACTAAGTTCTAATGTACTTCTGGGTGAAGTCTAATGGTTGGTTTTGACACCTTACCTGAAAATTGCAATAGACAGGAGAAGCCTAAGTGGTTTAAAATGCATAGCAGTTGCTTTAGGCTAGCGACAAGAAAAGAAGATACTTTAGCCACTCCCTTGGGAAGACATAAGTAGTTCATACAATGAGGTCATTGTAATTTGAGTTCCCTTTATCAGATACAGGATTAAAGATGGGTCAAAATCATTCTCAGGTAGCGCTCCCAATAAAAATGCGAAGCTGGCAAACAGGGCAGGAGGTGTATGCAATGACATGGGTAGGATAAAAGGGCTTTAACAATCCGGAGCCCTTTATATACTGAAAAGGGAGGGAAACCACAACCAATTAAAGTGACTTACCCAATCTGAAAAAAGTCATTCTGTTTTATTCCAAAGTGCTGACGCATTTCCCTACTCCTCTAGTAGAGGTGCACCAATACATTGGTCCGATATAGGATCAGCGCCGATATAAAGAAAATATACTATATCGGAAATTGGCTGTATCAGGCCGATAATTTGGCTGATATATGGCTCGCACATGCAGTGAGGAGCACAGCAGCATGGAGAGCTGTCTCCAGCTTTTAAGTCTGGTGTGGTAGAAGGGGAGGGGGGAGAGAAGCTCAATGCCCCCCATGGTGAGGGAGGAGTGGGGCAGTGGCAGGGGGCGACACTGGCCCCCCGGGAGGGAGGGTGGGGGCAGCTCCCTCTGCTGTGCACCGCTAGTCCAGGAGCCGGTGGTCTGGCAGCTCCCTGCCACTGATCTGGGAAGGCAGGGGAGGGGTGTGTGCCCCCATATCTCCGTGGGGTGGGCCAGGCTGGGGCCAGGGCTGTGCCAAGCTCTTCCCATCGGGTTGGGGCTGTGCTGGGAAGGGGGGAGCAGTTGCAGCCAAAACTTTGCTTTGGCCCCTTCTCAGAGCAGCCCCGTCCTATCAGGAAGAACTTTGCGCAGCCCCGGCTGCAGCTCACACCATGCAGATCCAGGGGCACATGCCCTCCTGGACAAGCGGTGGGAGCAGCCGAGCACTGGATGAGCCGCCAGACCAGTAACTCCTGGACAAACAGCACTCAGTACCAGGAGCTACTCCCACTCCCCCCTGGACGAGCTGGGGCTCTGTCCCGTGTCCACCCTGTCCTGGCTGGGCAGTATTTGCGCCAGCCCCACACCTCCCTCACTGCCGAGGCCTTGATCTGCACTCCCAATGCCCCTTCCCTCCTCCCTCCCCTTCCACCACAACAGACTTACCAGCTGGAGGCAGCTTTTCATGCTGCCAGGCTGGGTATCAGAAATTGGATCAGTATAAGCCAGTACGCCTCCTTAAAAATCGGCTATCTCCATTGGTGGCCCCCTATCCTCTAGCCACCAGACCAGTGCTCTCTAGTTAGAATATAAATTTAAACTACAATATCATTCTTAATCCACAAACACCATTGAGAGGTTGGCATGAATTTTACACTGCATTATGGCCTTCACGTACTAAGAAATTGGGTACACATCTGCAGTCACTAATTTATCCTAAAAGGAAAGGGTAGCATAAAAATAGTGCAAAATAAGTATAAAAATGAGACTTTATTCCTTGGCAGTAAGCCTTCAGGAACTTTGTCTTGGGTGTAATGGGTCAAAACTTTTAAATTGTGTTTCAAAAAGATTTAGGTGAGTCCTTGAAGCTGTGCTCAGTTATAATATTAAATTATTGCTATTTGTTTCATAGACATGTATTTTCCCTGGTTCTTAGTGCTGACATGTAAAGGGTTAACTGAAGAACTTACGATCAGTTCCATCCAAAGAGAGAAGCTTACAGCACTGTATTCTGGTCATACAAGCAACCTTTTATAGAAATGCATGCAGAAGTTGCAGGACTACGATGAAAACCACCACAGGAAGAGACAATTTAGATATGCTTTTGGGTACCAGTGAAATTACAATTAAAAAAAAAAACAACCCACAAACTCACCCCTTTTTGAAGCCTCTTCCTCAAGAAATCTGAGCCCCCAGGCTTTTGACCCAGATGAGGATATCTTGCTTTCAACTTTGCTTCTTCAGCCTTTTCTGGACTGATCACCTTATCTTCCATTTCCTGAAACGCATGCAATTACAGAGAGCTCTTTAAATCATAAGCCAAACTACCAAGCAAAGATTTGGTCAGGCTCTAAGAGCAACAGCTTTGGGGTTTTGGCCACCGTCCCTCCATAAACAAATCTACGGGGGG